AGGCTTGCAGGGTGCCATGGTGAGTTTCAAGAGAGTTTCTTGCCACAGATCCTCACTAGTGGGACATGGCCCTTGTAGAAATTCTCCAATTGCAGTGACTTATTTTTCCTAGGCAAGATCTAAAGATGACTCCTTTGCAGAGCTGTTAATCTGGAGATAAAGCCCAGGGGCATCTCTGTCCATCAGGGAAGGGTCCTGTTGCTTCAGCAAGGAGGTCACACACGCAAGAAACCATGGGGTGGCTCACCAGAAACCAGAGATGAGTTAATATAAGATAGAGGGAAGGGTTCATTGTAGGTTAAGTCTAAATGGATTATTAGTTTTCACAGGTTCAGAGCCAAACAAGGCCATGTGGATCATGGTTGCTTCATGCCTGGGCTGAGCGGCAACTCAGGGTCTCATTCTTTAAAGGGAAGATAAATGCTGTGTCCCCAAACGTTTAATCTGTGAGTAGGAAATTGAGGCAGTGTCTTTCCGGGAGAGTGCATCACTTCCTCAGGCAAGAAGGGGTGCCCCAGTCCTACAGATAAGGTTTTGAAGAGCAAAGCCCTTCACATCTACTACTCCACAAACTCAGGTGTTGTCAGCATGGAGCCCTGGCTGTTAATGGGCAGAGGCCGTTGTTCCCAGTTCCCTTCTCCTGTGGATGGGGTGGGTGCCATGGCTTCTGATGGTCACCCGGCTCACACCCCGGTCACACCTGTCCTCAGAAGGGGACTAGGGCTGGGTCTAATGCTGTGCTCCCCCACTGACACTTTGAGTAATTTTTTCTTTGAACTTGTCCCACACTTATATTTTGCAATGAGCCTTGCTCAGTAGCTGGCCGCTTTATTCAAGCTACCACTTTGAGTTTCCCTAAACAAACCCGCCAGGTAGGTATGACCCAAGTTTTATACAAGATGGTCCTGAGGACTAGAAAGCCATGTGTGAGGTCACAGGCAAAACTGACTTAAAAAGTCAATTAAAATTGGCTGTAAATCCAACAAAAAGTTGTGTCCAAGGCCTCAGCAAGTTAAGTGGCAGTGGTGTAACTTGGAGCAAAATCACCCTCTCTTCACAGGGTCCTGCCTGCCGCCTGCAGTCAGCACAGTGTCCTGAGAACTTCACCAGGGCATTCTCCTGTAAGGTGAAAGCTAGCATAGTGCTGTCAAAGGCCAGGTATCAAGTGCTGATGAGACCAGAAGTGGGCGGGGCACAACCTCTAAAAGAATGACAGGGACTTCCCTGCTGGTCCAGTTGTTAAGAATCTGCCTTGCAACGCAGGGGATGTGGATTCAGTCCCTAGCCTGGGAACTAGGATTCCACGTGAAAGAAAGAAAGTGAGGTCGCTCAGTCGTGTCCAACTCTTTGTGACCCATGGACCTTGGCATACCAGGCTCCTCCGTCCAAGGAATTCTCCAGGCAAGAATACTGGAGTGGGTTTCCATTTCCTTCTCCACTTACCGTGGGGTAACTAAACCAGTGTGCTGAGATGAATATCCTGCATACTGCAACTAAGAACCTGAAGTAAAAATTTTTTTTAAATCCCTTTGTGACAGGGCAGCTAGGTGACACACCCAGAGGCGCCGTGACAGTTCCACGGCTGGTAAAGGTCAAAAAGTGGGTGCTGACCCAGTTCCTGGAAATCCCCACTCTTTCCACAAAATAGCTGGCACACTCCTCCCACTCATCAGCCTATGAAATGACCCCCCTATAAACACTGACTGCCCCATACCCTCGTGCTCGGCTTGACTTCCAGGATGGCCAATGCTCTCTGTGTAGCGTCTTTCCTCCTTGGATTGACCTTCTTTCACTTCACTGTGACTCGCTCTTGAATTCCTGCCTATGTGAAGTCAACTACCCACACCTGGTGGCCATCCCAGGGACTCGGACATGACCTCGGACATGATCATCCTCTTCACCCCACTCTCTTGCCCTCAACACTGCTGCCATCTCCTTCAGTCTCAGAGATCCCTGGAGCATTAAAAGAACACCGTCTTTTCAGTTTGTTCATTGTTTCCTTTGCTGTGCAGAAGTTTTCAGTTTGATGGATCCTACCATCTAGCTTTGTTTTTGGGGCTTGTGCTTTTGGTGTCAAGCTCAAAACTATCCTTGTGGAGACCCATGCCAAAGAATATTTCTTCTATGCTCTCTTAGGAGTTGTGTGGTTTTTATAAACCTTTAATCTATCTTGCGTTGAATTTTGTATATGATATAAGAGATCAACCAGGGACGGAACTTGTGACCCCTGCATTGGAAGCTAGGGATGCTAACCACTGGATTGCCAGGGAAATTCCAGTTGTAATTGCTAATTTGTCTGTTTCTCCACTTATTCCTATAAGTTTTCTTTAAGAATTTTAAACTTCCTTTGCTAAGTACATTCTGATTCAGTATTCATATGTATTCTTGATGACTTACACATTTTATCATTGGGATAAATACCCCTCTCTATATCTGGTCCTTGTCCTAGAAGTTACTTGATTGTGTGCCATGCTTAGTCACTCAGTCGTGTCTGACCCTTCGTGACCCCATAGACTGTAGCCTGCCAGGCTCCTCTGTCCATGGGGATTCTCCAGGCAAGAACACTGGAGTGGGTTGCCATGCCCTCCTCCAGGGCATCTTCCTAAACCAGGAATCGAACCCAGGTCTCCCGCATGGTAGGCAGATTCATTACCATCTGAGCCACCAGGAAGCCTGTCAGTTAACCAATACAGCCTCCTATGTTTTCTTTAAATTAATGTTTCCATAGCATATCTGTAGTCTCAACAGTGAAGAATCTGCCTGAGATGCAGGAGATGCAGAGACATGGTTATGATTCCTGGGAGGGGGAGATTCCCTGGAGGAGGGTATGGCAACCCAGTGCAGTAACCTTGCCTGGATGATTCCATAGGGGTCACAAGAGTGTTGGACACGACTGAGCGTCTAAACAACAGAAGCAGCATATCTGTTTCCATCCTTTCATTTTTAATCCATTTGCCTTTATATTTGATATCTCAAGTGGCTTTTTTAATAAATAATAAATATCTCATTCTTGCTTTTCTTGTTTTTTTTTTAACTAAAATGATCATTTGTTTCCTTAAAATAATGTCTAGAATCTTAGCATCAGAGTTTATCCCATAAGTCTGAACCAAAATCCCACCTAGTATCATAGACTTCATTTTTTTAGAGTAGTTTTAGGATTGAATGAAAAGCACAGTTTTCCCCTATGATTTCAGCAACTCCAAGGTCCACAGAGGGCAAAGAGTCGGACACAACTGAAGCGACTTAGCACACAGGCACACAGCACTGATCCTGACGCCCGTTGCTGGTTTTCTGTCCAAAAGTGAAGATGTCTGCACTCTCTGAACTTTGACCCCATTCTCTTCGACTCAGGAGAATTGTTGGCCTGTTTGGGTTCTTGTTCCCTATGCTTTAGGCCTGGAAATCTGTAGAGGCTGGAGATGCCATAAGTCTCACTTCACTTGTTTACTTTTCTTTGTTTTAAATGGTTGAGCACAGACATTTTTACAATTTAATTAGCTAATTCATTAATTTGGCTGCCTTGGACCTTAATGACAGCAGGCAGAATCTAGTTGAAGCATGTGGGATCTAGTTCCCTGGCCAGGGGTGGACACAGGCCCCCTGGGTTGGGAGCAAAGAATCCCAGCCCCAGACCTCCGGGGAAGTCCCTCACCTCACCTGATTTCTGCTCTCCTCAATTACGGTCCTGCGTTGCTTGTGCCAGAGTCTGAATCAGCGGTTTCACAGGTTTTGCCTTGTTCCTTAGTTGTGTACTGTAGAAGGGCAGCATACAGTCCCATCGCGTCCTTTTTTTTTTTTAATGCTGAATGTGGGGTCCAAGCTCTTGTCTTTGAGTGTCTGCCCTTTCTTCCTGAGAACTCAGTTCCTTGACTGGGGGCTCTTGTTGGGGACCATGGGCCTGCCACCACATTCACTGGAATCATTCTGTATCAACCTCCAGAGACCACTGAACAGTTACAGGGCCTTGGAATGTACTTCAGCTCACATAAGGGAGGACATGGCAACCCACTCCAGTATTTTTGCCTGAAGAATCTTATGGACAGAGGAGCCTGGTGGGCCCCAGTCCATGGGGTCACAATAAACACTTGTTGAGCAGCTTTTGTGCCAAAAAACACTTGGGCCAGGAGTGATTAAGTGATGAAGTGCCCTTCAACATCCTGCAGCCAAATATGGAGATCGGAAATATGCAAATGTCCTGAATGTAAAAATCAAGCAGAACTCAGAGATGGAGCACTCAGGTCAGAACCCTTTTAAAAGGAAACATCATATTTGTTGGGGAAACAAATGTGTGTTTTTAAGAAGGAGGTAGAATTTGAGGTGCCCCTGAGAGATGGGTTTGGAGACATAGCTGGAGGAGAGATTTTATCCAGGCCTGAGGTCAGTCAGAACAGAGGCAGGAGTGAGAGGAAAGCTGAAGGCAAGGTGGAGGAGGAGCCAGGTCCCCGTGTCTCTGAGCTGGAAAGTGCTCAGAGGACCTGGGAGACCCTCAGGGAAGCCGTGAAGGTTCAGAGATGGATTTGCTGGGGAGATGCCATGACAGATGGACAGACTGCACAGCTCAGATGGGTGACAGAAGGCTAAGGAAGTGATTCAGAAAGAACAAGTGGTCCAGCCTCATTGTGGGGTGAAGGTTGTGTAAGAGTGATAAATTCTGACAACCTTTGGAACATCAGTTGAGACCCTCGTGTGGCTTCCTCTAGGGATTATACTTTATTTGAATTAAAAGTGAGTCATTAACACTTTCTAAGTTGCCTATTTGGTAACAAGCAGCACAATAAACAGAATGTTAAAAAATAATCATGATAATCAAGCTTCTAATTTTTTGTAAAAAGTCTTTAATTTGATTTGGCTTCTGGAGTCTTCAAGGAGGCATTTTCACACTATGTAACATTCTTTTCGAGTTTCTGGATTTTTCATTTCTTCTTCCGGCAGCATTTTCGGCAACTCGGGAACAGCGGCCTATTTGTTCCTCCCTTGGAAGGCAGCCAATCAGAGCACACCGGCCGCTTCTTCTTTTGCAGTAATACTTTTGTAACCCGCTTATGATTCCGCCATTGCCTGCGGTGAAGAAACAGATAACACGGAAGGTTTTAGGAAGGCCGCGGTACAAGTCCAAGGCTTTTGAAATCTCTCTAATAAGTTATCTGTTGCCATTTTTTGTTCTTTTATGTCTTTTTCCTCTTTCTTTACCATCTGGAGTAAAAAAGAAGGTGGGGCTAGCTACTAACAATGATTCTGTGGGTTTGGCTCAGCTGAGAAAGTTGCATGACAGTGGTAGCCCTCTTGTGAACTGACACCTGGGAAGCAGGGTCCATGATGGTCCCCCGGGTCCTTAAGAGACCGAAAGACTGTAGCTCCAACTGCTAAGCTAATAAAAGGGAACCTGTGCTTCTGTCCTCAGATTAAGTTCATTTTTCCTGTTGGTATTAAAGATTTACATCACTTTCTTCCTGTCTCATGAACAGTTATAACAATCCTCCCATGGAGGGATGGTTTGTGAGCTGATTAGTCTCTTAAGAGTGAATCAGAAGGGATGGACACCCTACTTTGAGCTTCTTGATGGTCTTTGTCAAGAAAAAAAAAAAGAAAAACTGGTAATGTCTAGTTCCCAAGCAGTAAATCTAGTTTATCTAAAATTCCCAAATGAATGGAGACGGCTGACTCTGACTGACAAATTCTCAATCCATTCAGCCCTGTCATTTCCCACCGCTTCTCACCTGGAACAGGCAGCATGAACAAGAAGAGGTACGCAAAGAGAAGATAGTAGATCCTCATGGCTGGCTGGCTTCCCAGCTGAGACTGGACAGGATGGTGTGCTCGCTCAGTTTATAAAGGCTGCAGGTCCGCAGCCATAGGGAGAAGCATTCATCAGCTGCAATTCCTATAATATTACAGTGATGACAATATGATGTATTTCCTTAAGCTACATGCCAAGGTCCCTGACAAAGCAGACCATGCCCATTCCCCCCAGAAGTTAATTACAAACCTCAGGGAGACTCGGGGCCTGATGTGAGCACAGGCCTGTTCTGATGCCTCTGAGGTCTGGGTGCTCGTGCAGGGCTGGCTCATGGCTGGCTGTCTGAGATGGGAAAGACCTGCCCACTCCTGGATGCAGTCCTGGGGCATGTAGCTGGGAGCTCACCTGTGCCCACTGTGGTCTTCTAAGCTTTTGCCTTCTTCCTAAAGTCCTGGGAGAGCCTGAGCCCCATCAGTCCAGTCTAAGGCTGGTGTGTTCAGAATCAGGGGTAAAGTGGGGCTGGCTCACGCCCTGAGCCTGCAGGGATACGCCCGAAATGGAATCAACTCTTAAGTAGTGTGGAGGGGAGGGAAAGTGGGCTGCATTCCAGAGACTCTGTCCTGTGTCTTTGACCTGTGATGGAGTGCGGCATCTCAGGTCAAACATAGCTCATTCTTTACTGCGGTCTGAAAACCACCAAATTCATGGGTCAGGAAGGTATCTGACGTTTCCCTTCAGGGCTGGGGCCCTTAATCGCCAGCATGAGAGTCCTGAGAACGCCTTTTCCTCGGACACAGGACCAGCAGTGGTGGCTGCTCCTCGGGGATGGGGTCTGATCAGAGCACCTGGTCCCTCACGGGTTGGCGTCATTTGAGCAAGAATCAAATTTGGCTCTTGTAAGACGCTAAGATGTGGAGGCACTGTCACCACAGAACAGTTTGGAGCATGCTGTCCCCTGAGTAGGGCTGCAGGGAAAATGCAGGACACCCAGTTTAGCTTGGATTTCAGGTGATCAACAAATAATCTTGTAGGATAAGTATGTCCCAAGTAATGCAGAGGTCACACTCAAGCTAATGTATTTGTTGTTTATAGAGAAACAAATATATAAATTTATATACATATAAATATATAAACAAATCTATAAATGTGTTCTTTATATAATTCAGTAAGTAAATTTGTTTCTTGGGATTCTTGAATATTTAATAAAAACATGGTCTTTGGAATCAAACCAATTTGGGCTTGAGTTAAAGTCCTCCCTACACACAACCTTCATGGCTTTGAAGAAATTACCTTATTTCTAAATCCAGCTGTAAAACAGGGCTAAAAACACTTATCCTGTAAATAGTGCTGTGAGGAATACATTTTGGAGAAGACATTAAAAGTTTTGGTGTCTCAGTAAAGAGGTCCTAGTATGAACAGGTCCTAGTATGGAAAAGTCAACCTATGGGTGAATTAATAAATGCATGAATGGAGGGAATCAGGGAGGGGAGGAGGGAAGGAGAAAAGGAAGGAAGGCTCAGGCATAATCCTTAGGGTTTTGAGGGTCTGGAGAGAGCCCATTAAGTTGCTTTATACCAAAGTGTTCCTAAGCACAAGCACCCACTCACCCATTCCCAACGTAACAGGTCAAAGTTGTCATAATCCGTCATGGTCTCTAGTCTTCACTAACCCGCCTCTCTTCCATCTTACTTGAACTGTATGTTCTGAGATTTTTCCCTCTGTCCTGAGGCAACTTAGCAATAAAATGTTTTCAGTTTTAATCTTTTGATCAGCATTTGAATCTTTCACTAAGTAGAGATCTATTTTACTTTAGTGACATCAACCTAAAAATAGAATGAGTGTTTGCAGTAAGCTGTTTCAATAAGTCTTACCTAATTCTACAGAATAGCTGTGAGGGTTTTACTTCGTTGGCCCCACCAACAGTACTTTTATAATAATAGAAAAGAAAGGATAAACTAAAAGCACTGGGTCATATTTCTCTCTTGTACTCTTATACGGAAAGCAATCCTTTACACTGACTCCCTAAATGTTAGGCATCTATTCCCACCCCTTCTTCAACCACCGATGTCTCTCTCTCTCCTGAAAACCTACCTTGCAGTTGGCTCCTCCGCCCTTCTCAGGAGGACTGCGGCCCATCCACTCAGGCAGAGACACCAAAGAGCCCCTGTCCATTGCCACACAATGAGGGGCCAGGTCAACAAAGGGCAGAGGAAGGGCTGAGTGAGGTCACACAGGATGCCTCATGATCCTTGTTTGCAGGAGTCATCCTGGGGGAGAGGGGTGGGACCAGCCAGAGTTGATGGTACCAACCACCCTGAGAGTGATGAGAGGAAGTGGGGGCTGCAGACACTCCTTTTGAAGAGTTTTGCTGAAAAACTAAGTGCAGAGAAAACCGAGTTGATGATTGCTATCATGTGAATGATGAACTGTTTCCTTGTTGTAGGCATTTTGTTTTAAACACTGGTTTTTGGGGGTGTTTTTTGTTTGTCTGTTTTGGAACGTTTGGGCTCTTCTTTAGCATGTGGAATCTTAGTTCCACAACCAGGGATGGATTCCAGCCCCCTGCATTGGCAGCATGAAGTCTTTAACCACTGGACTACTGGGTAAATCCCTGCTGTTAGTTTGTACAGATGCAGTGCTACTGCTGCTAAGTCACTTCAGTCGTGTCCGACTCTGTAGGACCCATAGGCGGCAGCCCACCAGGCTCCCCTGTCCCTGGGTTTTCCCAGCGAAGAACACTGGAGTGGGTTGCCATTTCCTTCTCCTGTGAATGAAAGTTAAAAGTGAAGGTGAAGTCGCTCAGTCGTGTCCGACTCTGAGGGGCCCCACAGACTGCAGCCTACCAGGCTCCTCCGCCCATGGGATTTTCTAGGCAAGAGTACTGGAGTGGGGTGCCATTGCATTTGCCATAGATTGAGTAGACGGAGGCAAGAGGTGGAGCTGATTTGGGCCTCACCCACAAGTAAGCAAGAGAAATGAGATCCAGGACTCAGGTGGAAAACTTGGCTATGGACCAGAGCAGGAACCTGTTTGGTTCATGAGTCACATAGAAAAGCCATTCTCTTCTTTGTGCTGAAATGAGAAGAGCATTCCTCCCATGAAAGAATCCAACAGACACTCAGAAATGTTATGGCAATAAAACATCAACAGATACGTTTAGAATAAAACTTAAAAAGTTAAGCAAAAATTAAAAATTGAAATCCCAATAAAGAATATGATATGTTTAATAAACAGTACTACCAAACCACACTCAATATCAGATAAACTTTCCATGATGAAATTTTAAAAATAAAGGATAAAAGGGATATAAGATATATGGGGTGTAAGACTGAGTCCCAAATATAAACTTTGAGATGAAAAAGAGTTGGCAGATGCACCATGGGCATTTCTGTGAATAAAGAAATATAAAGTTAAGCAAAATGTTTACAGCTGTTACCATTTTTTTCCTTCATTAAACACACACAGGTTTGTCTCCTTTGAGCTCCTAATTTTAGGCTCAAGGCATGATTTTAAGCGATTGCTGTATTGATTTCCTGTTGCAGCTTAGCAAATTGCCACAAGCTAAGTGGCTTAAAGGAACACATACTTGTTATTGTGGTTCTGAGGATCCAAAGTCCCAAATGGGTCTCGCTGGCTTCAAATCACGGTGTCAGCAGGACACTGTTCCTTCTGGAGGCTTCCTTCCTTGTCACACTTAGAAGTTGCCTGCCCTCCTTGGCTTATGGCCCCCCTCCATGTCAGTGCAAGCCAGCTGGTTTAGGCTCTCAGCGCCCATCTCTCTGACACTGAGCTGCATCCCTCCTCCACATTTAAGGCTCCTTGTAAGGAGATGGCACTGGGCACAGTCAGTTAATCCACGTCATTTCCCTATCTTAAGCCCCAGTGATTAGGTACCTTAATTCCACCTGTGCTATAATTCTCACTTGTCATGTGTCTGCCCTTTCAGGCTACTAAAACAGAAACACCAAAGGCTAGGTGATGCTTTTTTTTGCACTTTATTTTTTGATTGAAGGATGATTGCTTTACAGAAATCGTGGTTTTCTGTCATACATCAACAAGAATCATCCACGGGTTCACCCATGTCCCCTCCCTCCCAAAACTTCGTCCCATCTCCTTCCCCATCCCACCCTTCCAGCTGGTCGCAGAACCCCTGTCTGAGTTCCCTGATCACACAGCTAATTCCCGCTGGCTATCTATTTTACATGTGGTACTGTAATAGGTCGCTTATTAACAACAGACTCTACCTCTCAGTTTTGGAGGTTGGGAGCTCCAGGATCAAGACAGAGAAGGTGGCTGGTGCACGGGGGTCTTCTCCCTGTGTCCTCAGAGGGCACAAGGGTGAGCGATCTCTCTGGGGTCTCTTCCATAAAGGCTCTCATTCCACCGAGGAGGGTCCCATCCTCATGACCTAATCACCTCCCAAAGGCCCTGTCTCCTAACACCATCCCCTTGGTAACCTAGCTTGCACTGAGGGAAGAGTTAGTGTGAAGACCAGAGAGCTGCTCACACATACAACCTGCACCAGCCAGGCTCTTGGTTTAACTGGCAAACCCTCTGAAGAAACTGCAGGCAGGCTGAGGTCAGCGTGCTCAGCCTGCCCTGGCGGGCTCTGTGTTCATGCTGTGTTGTCTTCACTGAACTGTGTTTCCACAGGACTGGTTTTTCCATCGCATTTAGTTGCATCGTATCATGTCCACACAGAGAGACATGCTTTGTCCATGTCAACTGTGTCATTCAACTGATGACAGTTGGTGAAGCCATGTCTCGGCTCAATGCCCGGCACATCCAGGATGAGGACAAGTCCATGCCCGCAGAGACCTCACGGCCCAGAAGGGAACCGGAAGTGCACCCACGTGTGCACAAGGCGGGGGTGAGAGGCATAAACCCAACGGAAGTGAGGGCTGCAGGGGACAGAGGAGGGGGTTCCTCCTGAGCAGGGGTCGGGGTTTCCTACGGGCCTGGTGTTCTGGTGATTCTGGACCCCTGGGGTGCATGTTTGAGGGGAGACGAGGGGCAGGCCAGGGTGCCCTGGGCCACGAAGCAGGAAGGACAGCAGACAGAG